AAACACATCCATCCACAAATATGTGTGTGTGTGTGTGTGTGTGTGTGTGTGTGTGTGTGTGTGTGTGTGTGTGTGTGTGAGAGAGAGAGAGAGAGCGCGAGAGAGAGAGAGAGAGAGAGAGAGAGAGAGAGAGAGAGAGAGAGAGAGAGAGAGAGAGAGAGAGATCACTGATCATGAACTATGACCGCAAATTCCCGCAATGATTCGAACTCTTAGCTTTTTGACTATTTTTGTATTTTGCTATTTGACTCTTTCAAGCCTCTTTGGGAATTTGGCTATTTAGCTTTCGGCTATGGGCTATTTACCTATCTGTATGCATGACAATGGAAGCGCACTTTGCTTGCAATGCATCGACATTTCTTCCTATCATGCTAATGCCACTTTACTGGGCTTTTTGGCAGTTTTGGCTATTTGGCTATCTGCCTGCATGACAACGACTACGTATTTTGCATGTTCTTCCCATCATCACCATCATGACATGGCTATTCAGGTTTTCTTGCTGACAACATGATGAATCGCGATGTGCGGAAGCGAGTGTAGTCGACGAGCCCGCAGATCTTGATCAAGTCCTTCAGCTCCTTATCTAGCCATTGACGATATGTCCGGCCGAATGGAGTGCCTATTGTCTGCAACCCACTTACATCAAGGTTAGAAGGAACAAGGGAAAACAAAAAAAAAGACCAGAAAGCTGTTTTGAGAGAAAAATATAGCTTAGTGAAAAAAAAAAAAAGATTAGCATGATCTCGCCCTTGCCTTGTTGGCAGACGTTGGTCTAGGGTGCTTGGTTATGTGACTGGTTGAAACTCCATCCATTACAGCATCAACATGTTCCCATACACATGCGAGATGACGAAGCAGACTTGGGGAGGACTTCCCCTGGACTGAGATATGCACAGCGGAAGATCAAAATTCAATTAGAATTTTCAAATTAGAATTGAAGAAGATACCAAATTGCAGTCCCCCGACTCTCTCCTATTCAACTAGCTCCACAAAGAACCCCCTGAGAGTCCCAACCGAGAATACCAACCACTTGAACAAACTTTAAAACACAGTCTCAGCAAGCTCCAGCAGCCTCCCTCCTACTCCCTCCCTCCAACTTCAACCTTCGCCTTCCCTTAGCTATGGCGCCCAGCGTAAAGATACAGTGCCCACTGCCCAGCATAAAGATCCAGCACCCAGCCTGCAGACCACCTGCGCCTCCCTGTGGACCACCATAACCCCACCACTCCTCAGAAAAAAAAATCAGATGGCGCAGCGCTGAGCCAGAGACCCTCCAGGATGAACTGCACTAGCTCCCGGATGACGAAGGAAGAAGGAAGCCCCAGTTTGAAGGAAGTGCTGCAGCACGAGTGACACTATCGTAGCAGCAGCCGCCCAGCTATGGCGCCCCCCCGGCAGCCTGGCGGCGTCAACACAGTCTCCAACAGCAAGTCGTCCACAGAAGACCAACTAGCCAACTGACCAAAGATCAGAGACCTAGAGGTCGTAACACTACGGACTGACTCTATTTATAGTTCTACACTAACCTACTGGACCGGAGTCCTAGGACCCAGGACGCAGCTAACGGTTATGGGTCTGTATTTTTCCGGTAACAGTGGTACTGTTCTGGGGCATTTGGCAAAGCAGCAGTTTGTTCAGACCCGAACGAAGTTTAGGGCCAGTAGTACCGTCTTAGCAGTAGTTTAGGGAACGTCCCCGTCGGCTTAGGCCTGTTTTCAGTTACCAGTTTAGGACTTAGAAGAATTACAAAAATACCCTCTTTATTGTTACAGCCCGCTGAGAAACTTCAAGAACATTACAGAGCTCTCCCTGCC